GGACACCTCCAGGGCTGGGCACTCCAAACCTCCCTGGGCAGCCCCTGCCAAGGCCTCACCACCCTTCCTAGGAAGAAATTCCTGCTGATGCCACCTTTCAAACTCCCCTCACTCCGGCTGGGCTCTGTTTAGGCTCATCCCACAAGGACTGGTGTCCTATTCCTGGAGGATCCCACATCACCCCATCCCAAGGGAAAGGAGCAGGGGAGAGACGCAGGAAACTTCTGGTGTTTTCTTTACTTGCTTGTTGTTTTGTGCTCTGTTTTCCTTATTTTTTTTTAATTCCAAGTTGCTCCACGTTCAGAGCGAGCTCTGGAAAAAACTCTGGCTCAATAAATGAAGGTTTTTACCCTCCAATATTTTACATCACACAGCTCTAAACCCCGAGAGCGAGACAAAGGGATGCTCCAACTCATTTTACTCCGTCAAACTCCAAATATTTGAGACAGACCGTTTCAAAGATGCCAATAAACAGCTGGATCGTTGCATTAAATGCTTCTGAATATTCCCATTCTTGCTCTCCAGCTGGGATCCCTCTGCTCTGCTCCTGGCTGGAGTGGGGGACTCCACGGATCGCTCCAGCTCCAGGTCTCAGTTTTGCCACTTCCAAAGCGCTTTTCCTCCACTGCCAGTTTTGTAGGAAATCAAACAGAAGGAAAAGCCAAGGTTGCTTTGCCCTTTCCACTTCCCAGCTCTCCAGGTTGGGATTTGGAGCCTTTGGCAAGGGCTGATGTGGAGGCACATCCAAACCAAACCGCATTTTAACGAAGGGTAATTTTAAGGACTAATTAGGACACGTTGACAAGTCTTACTTGGACAAGAGGAGCTTTTCCTGGCTTTTTTATGGCTTTGAAGGGAAAGTGCTCAACCAAGTCCATGGCCTCCACCAGAGCACAACGTTTACACTGGGGTGTAAAGGCAAACCATGGTTTTTTTCCTTCTTTTTGGAATTCTTTTAGAATTGTGCTTCCATGAGCTCCAGGACTCATTTGAGCAACCCCATAAAATGCCCAGACTCCGTATTTATGGGTTATTTTGTCGGAAGGACAGCGGAGCAAGAGCAGACAGGGAAGGGTTCTGTCCAGAACAAGTGGAGCAGTGTCCCAGAAATAGCTGGGAAGTGTCCATCATTCCAGAGCACAACATTCCTGCTCTCTGTTCCCACCTGGGATCCGCACTTGTGGTGGACACAGAGGGTTTGGTTCAGCGACTGGAGCTGTTTGTCAATCCAGACCCTTCTCCCTCCCTTCCTGGCATCCCAGGAAAGTCCTGCTCTGTTCCAGGCACAGCACCGGGATCCCAGAAACGCTGGGAATTCCGGTGCCCAAAGCACCTTCCCTTATTTTAACTCATTCAAACTCCACACCATGCGTGTTCCAGACACCCAAATCCTTAATTTCCAGCTTCTCCAACATCTGCCCGGCAAGAGGAGGGAATAATGCCCAGAATGAATGAAATGGGACTGATCGATCAACGCCAGCTTCCCTGGATGTAAATATTTACCAGGAATCACTCAACACCGGCCTTATGGGATGTAAATATTTAAGGAAGCAGCCAGGGATGCCTCTGCCACCATTCCACGGACATTTAAAGATGTGTCATCAATGAAGATAAAATGATCTTTTAAATACAGCAAAACAGAAAGTATTTTGAAAGCCCTAAATCCCTTCAAAAACCCTAAGTGGTTTTGGGGCACACTTGGAGCAGAACAGCAGGAATGTGTATTTATTTATGGAGATATAACACACAATTCCTGCTGCAAGGAGGGCTTGGAAGAAGGCTTTTCCCCCTCCTTTTTCCACCAATTTTTGGGCAGGACAAGAACTTGTTTCTTCAGGAAATGCATTTCCTGATGGAAAACAGCACAATTCCATGTGTTTTTTCCAAGCTAGAATTTGGAGACACACCTGAAGCAGAGGGAGAATCTGTAACTGTGGCTGCACTTCCCAAAATGTTGGTCAACAGGGAATTCTCACAAGTTGTGAAGTAAATTCACCATCCCAGAAAAATGGGGAAAGGGAAAGAGTCCCAAAGAACTTCTCTGCAGCCACAGGCAAGGCCTAAATATCATTTAAATGGTCGTGTGTCACTTTAAACTCTTCAGTGCTCTTTTAAGTGTCACAGCAAGGAACCAGCTTGAGGAAAAAAAGCCTTTTTTAAATGTATTTTTCACTTAAAAGCACTTTGTAAAGATGTTTGCATCCAGAGTTAATATTCATCCCCCACAAAAAAAAGAGAAATTAGAGTGTCAGGGAAGTTTTAAAGCACAACTGAGCCAGAACTGTGAGAAATACTCCGAGTCCCAGTCAGTGTTCTATCACTGCCCCAGTCCTGAGCTGATAAAGGACCAAATCCTCACACTAAAGGCTCAGTTGTAAAGCAGAAAAGCTGAATTTTGTGCCTAATTTTAAGCCCCACCTCTGTGTCCCGCAGCCAAGAGCCTTAAAACTGACTGCTGGGCAATACTGGTATTTGAGTGGTGATTTGATGATGGGAATGAACAGGAATGTCCAAAAATATGCCCAGGTGAGCACTGCCAGGTGATGGTTGGGGAGGAAAGTCAGGTAAAATAACTCAACCTGTTTCTGCAGGTGGTTAATTATGACAGAAAATGATATTGATAAGATAAACCCAGTGCCAATTCTACACCAACTGCACTACTGTGACTAATAATGTGATAAAAATGGAAATATCCAGGCAGAAAGGAGATGAACAAACTCAATTCTGGCTGTACAACACCCAGAAAATCCACATTTCAACCCCCAAACCCCACACCTTTCACCAACACTGAATTCATGGGAAAAATGGAGGGAGAATTTAAAAAATAAACAACTGAAGACGAGACTGAGGAAGAAATATCTCCCATATCATCCACTTCAGGACATTTATAGTAGGTTTTATTAGTCAAGATGGAACTTTATGGGATTATATGACTTAACAGCCCCACGTAACAAGCTCAGCTGCACAGGAACACACAGAATTCCATATAAAAGTTGTTTCAGGCAGATCAACCCATAAAATATTAAATACAGGCTCAGAAAGAAACACAACACCCCATCAACATCCTATTATTTACCTCTGATTTACAAAGAGGTCTGATCCTTTTTAATTACAGGATATATTAAATAAAAGATACATCACAGAACCAAAGCACACATTGGGTACAAGCTCCAAAATAAGTATTTTCGGGGGTATTTTCACCAAGATTTATTTACTTTACATGTGAAAGCTGGGAAATAATGACCCCCACAGAAAAAAGCAGAAATACTGACAGTGAAAGATTGAGGAAAAAATTCCCAGAACCATCCTGCTCGTGCCCAAAGACTGACTAAAATCCATAAATAAACGACTCTGGCACCGGGATCAATCCTAAAGCCCAGTTCCAGCGGCTGGATTCGGCCGAGTTTGATTTTAACAGGTAATTTTAGAGCAGCAGAGTTCCAACCACACACGCTCGATTCTCCCCAAAAAGCACGTGCAGGCAGCCACAATAAACACATCTGGAACAACACGGAACAACATCCCCGAGTGGCACCTTCATCCCCATTCCTAAAAAAAAACAGGAAGGATTTGGGCTGGAAGGTGGGATACGCCAAACTCGCTGCTAAAATTCAAGGCCGGCAGGTTAAAAAAAAACAAAAAAAACAAAAAGCAGCAGCGACAGGTTGAATAATGCCGATTTTCCAGCTGCCTCCTGCCCATCCCCGAGCGCTCGACTCGGAGCTCTCTCGGAACTTTCTTTGGCAGGAAGGCAAAAAACCAAACTGAGCAGAAACCGAACAAAAATCCAAGTGTGGAGGTGGGGGGAGGAAAAATAAAAAAATCGAGTTTATACCTGAGGAGCTTCGCCTCGCTTTTTTTTTTTTTAAAGCGTTAAAGTCTGTGTTTAAGATGGTGAATAAGCCCCCAGGAGTAAGGGAGGGGGTGGACCGGGATAGGGCGAAAAGGGCGAGAAATTATTAAAAAATCGCTTTAAAATGTCAAAAATAATAAAAAAACTATTTTAAATTTTTTAAAAATAATTT